CACATTTTATTACTATTTACAATTTTAAATCAAAAAAGATTTATTACAAATTCTCTCAAGCTTTTTCCCCCCTTTCTGCTTGTTAGTCTATTATCTCTCTAGTCTGCTCAACAATTAATTCACTAATGCAAATTAAATTAATTCACAAAAGTCCTTATGTGGCCTTATTTTCACAACCAATGTCACAGCCGTATATTTCCACGTACAAAACTGTTTGAAATGATACAAATATTCATATTTTGGCAATTTTAAATTAAAAAAAAAATCAATTTTGTAAAAATTTTGAAACGTAGCTTTTTATATGAGACTTTGGTCCTTTTAGTTGTATTTAGGGAAATTTTGCATGCATTATAAAGTACAAAAAATGTGGCTTTCATACTGAAAAAAAGTTGACTGAGATATTTAAAGTTTGAGATCATATTCAGAACCTATATATAAATTAAAGAGGGAAATGTTTGCATTTGTTCATGAGTAAAAATGGAAAGATTTCTAATATTATTAGATTAAGTGATGAGCATTTGTATACAGATTGCTGTGAAAAGTATTGACCGTTGTAATATCTTTAAAAAAAGTAAATCTTATTCACAGAACCTTTAAGAACTCATATTTCTAGAAAATATTGACACATAATCATTTTGTTATATTATTTGCATAAATTAATATATAATACGATGACTTGGAGAAAGCTGCAATGCGTTGCCAATGGTTCCTTGCATTATAGTAACTTGGAGAGACTTTACTGCATAGTTAGAAAGATGACACTCTGAGACAGATGTAGCCATAAATTCCACACATAATTTATTCCATGATAATTAGTTTTGGGGACACATTTTCTTTTTCACTGCACATCATCATTGTAGATGCACTATACACCCCACAATTTTATACAGATTATATTTTTAGAAGAATGGACAATTACTAACAGAGGCTGTTTAAGCATCAGCGAGTGAAGTAACATCTTAATGCCAAGAAAGCTAGAAGCAAAAGTGTGCAGTTATCCAATGTGGGAGAGAATGTTTGTGAGTGATGAATGCTGTTTTATTTTGCAGTTCATCACATAATTCTGCAATGATACTACCAGAATTCAGTTATCAGTGAATGCTGAAATTACATAATCTTAATAACTCTTATTTTATAATTAAATTGTTTTTATTTGGTATTCAGAAGGAGTATTAAAGCCATACATGTGTAAAAGGCCCCCCCCCAAAAAAAAGTAAAAATGAATAATTTTTGATTTTGTATTACAGCACACTCAGCTTCGTTGCTGGTTTTCGTAAACTTTTAAGGTACTTGTTGATTATACAATACCTAATGATATATTGTCAAAAATACTGCCCATGATTTTGATTCTTGCAAGCATTCAACAGCTCTGAAAGAATTCTGTGTTGGTTTACAACAAGAGATTTTTATTTCCATTTCTCATTAATGTTCTCTCATGCTTCGAGATGGGCGTTATAGGACAGTGAGAATGCCTTTTTTGTTTTGCTTTTTAATAGTCCAGAAGGGGTATTAGTCTTGAAATGGCATTTTTTGTCGAATCATTATAAATGGCTGTATCACTTTTCAAATTCTTGCCACCAAATATTATCACTCTGTATTATATTTATAGAAACTGAATAATGAAGAATCTATATGAATGTATCTATGTTTCTTGCATTGTGAAAAAACAACGGTACCTAGAGTCATCCAATTTTGAATAACATAGTCTTCCATCTGAACATGGGCACCTGGAAGCCTGAATTTGAAATTTGGAATTTGTTTTATTGTCTATTTCATATTTTGTAAAATTTTAACAAATTTTTAAATTAAAAAACTCAACAATTTCAAAGTTAAACCAGTGAGCAGTGGCAATGCTGTAGGGAATAAAACATTTTTATCTCCAGCACACATGCCTGTTTTATAGGAATTCTAAAGATATGCTGTTTTTAAATATTTTTAGCCCAATACAGTGTTAGTCCAAATGCTCTTGATACGTGTATGTGTCTGTAAATGGGGGGGGGGAGGCTGTTTGGTCACTATATAAAATCAGAAAGCTTTCAAATTTTATTTATCCTTTTTTATGAGTTTTCCTATTCAATAAAATTAATTAAATTTTTTAAAGTATACATTACATTTATACTTGAAGGTGAAGTATTTTTTATTATTTATTTCAAAGTTATTTTTATTCTTGAGAGAAGTGTCTATGTGCAAAAAATGGAATGCATAGGGCATAAATGCAAATTCTCCGAGTTTTTCATCATATTTCATGATTTCCTGGTTTTTAAATTTTAGCCCCTTTTTTCACTGTTTCTGATGCAGCTTGGTCTTTTCACCTATGGCAGTACAGAAAGAACCTAAATGGTTAATACAAAGAGTCGCATGATCCGTTCCACCCACACAAAGCATAAGATGCAGATAAGTATTAAAATAGGTTTCTCTTTGAAAATATCAGACCTGCATCAATGTTTAAATCAAAGAGAAGTGAAGAAGTTCCATATTTCATATATCCTGTTCCATATTTGACGGGATTGTTTTGTTTTTCCACATCTGCATGTGCCCTAGTGTTTTAAATTTGCAGTTGGTTACTGATCAGTTTTATTATTTGGCAGTTTAGTAAGTGTGGCAAAATATTATTAAAGCTTTAACCTTTTAACTGCCTGAAATAATCTCGGGCACAGCACTGGTATTCCAAAATGTCACGTCCGAATATTACTCGGGCTAATTCTTTTTTGAGTGCATCGTATTGTTAAAAACAGTTTTAACCCTTCGGGGATTGCAAGATTAAGCAATTCTCTCTTCCCAAATATGTGTAATATCTGTCAGTCATTCTGGTAACAGATGGTACTTATTTTCTCCCTTGACAGGTGCATATTCTGTGTTAAATGCTACTATCTCAAAGTTATTGCCTATCCTCTGTTGTTACTGGAATATTCTATGTCTAACAGAAGGGATATTCTTTGTTAAATGTTACTATCTCGACCAAGTGAAATAAAGACCCTTTTGAAAGGGAAAATATGCATGCATCTTTATAGAAATATGCTATTTTATACTGATTAACAAGAAAATAATAAAAACATTATGCCATACTGTGGCAAATAATAAATTTAATTAAAATAATACTTTGTTATTCACCATTATGTATTTTTATGTTATTAATCTGTCAATATAATAATGTTTTTCTACTGAATTTTTAGAACATGATAAGGCATGTTACATGATCAATTTGGAAATTAGTACAACATAAATATTATACAGTCAAAAGTCTTTAATCCGGACTTCGGCGATTCCAGATTATCGATTTTTCCGGATTATAGATCATCAGTTTAAATCGCGTAAGATGGCATGCAGAAATTCTAAAATTAAAAATATGAAACTGTAATTTATGAAATGAAGAACAATTATGATCTAAAGGGTATCAAAATTTACAAAAAAAAGCTTAATATTTATTTGTTTACTTTATTAAACATTTCTTTCAATGTAAGTTGTTCAAGTTGCTTCATTTTATGTGATAATACTTTCTCTTTAATTCTATAAACAGACATAATTTTTTTGTTCGGTTACAAAGTTCCGCTGTTCAAGTCCCATTAATTGCCATGCCGAGAATACCGACTAACTTGTCAATCGAAATTTTTTCGTTTTCACTAACCTCTCTGTCACATTCTTCATGTCTTTATCCATTTTTTACAGCAATTCCACTTTTTCTTTGATGGACATCGAAACATACTTTCGTTTTGTACGATCCTTTGGGAGCTCCAGATTCGGAAATTCTATTTGACATAATCGAAAGTTCAAGTTTACTTTTATAGTATTGCTCTTACAGTCTGCAAAAAATAATAAGCCGGATCCAATTCGAAAATTAAGGAACAACGCAATCATCAACATTAACTGAAATAGATAATTAGATAATTTTAGCTTATACCGTTCGTTATACATAAAACGCGCACGCGAAAACATATTCTGCGCTTGCGCACACGCAAATGCGCAGTAGTAAGAAGTCTTACGCGCACGCGCAAAGACCTATGCGCATGTTTCAACACGCCGCATGCGCATAAAGTTTTTAGCTTTGAGGTCCGGATTATGGGTGTCCGAATTAACGACTTTTGACTGTAGTAGGAAAAAAATTAATGAATATTGATTTCTTTAGTTACCTAAAAATACTTCTGTGTGTGGTGGAAATATGGAGTGGTATATGAAGCGGGTGTTGGTACCACTAAAACCTTCTTTTCCACTTGAACTAGCTTCCAAATTTTCAAATCAAATATCTATATCTAAATCCAAATTAATTTTGATTATCCAACAGAAGATTTTCTTCTCCAGAATTAGATTCCTCATTCCCCCCCCCAAAAAAAGTGTGCTTTGTCTTTGATGCAATTTCTAGCTGTAACAAGCATTCAAAATATAGCAAAAATTCCTGGGGGGAAAAAAAACCTGCCAAATTCACCCTTATTATGCAGGAGATTATCTAGTACTCCTACCACCATCTGTACCAAGTAAAATTAACTAATTTGTGAGTTCAACTCATTTGTAACACTAAAAATCATTGGATTATTTTGAAGCTTTTGTTGATACTGATATTATATACCTTATGCTTTGCTCATAATTTTATTTATTTAGATGCGATTGTGGACACAAGCAAGGCAAATGGGAGCTTATGCAGCCAAGTGTATGTCATGTAGTCTTCATAATGAAACTGCAATTCTTGATATCTGTTTTGATCTTTTTACTCATGTAACTCGTTTCTTTGGTTACAAGGTATGCATTATATTTTGATGCTATAGATGTCTATAGCTTAGTCTTTTAATTTTTCAAATCCCATTTTGTTATACTACTATAATGTTATGTATTACTGGACTATCATAAAACTGTGCATTATGTAATTAACTGAGTAATTTAAGAACAATAGACATACTTAAAAATTTATATCTTAGTTTACTAATATCTAAATAGCATAAGAGAATTGACAGTAAGATAAAGAATAAACATTCATGATAGTTTAACTGACAGGAAATTTGCATCTGTGAATAAGAATGAAAAAACTGAGTCGGGCATTATTTCATTTATAAAGAGAATAACATTGTACTTCAGGTATTCAGAGTGTCAAGCATTGTTTTGAGATTCTGGTTATTACACAGTTCTTTCCCATTCTTTCCATTATGTAAATGTGGAAAGAATGGGTGTTTAAATGGAGTTACTCTTTCATGAATGTGAATGATTGAAATCTGATTAAATACTTTGGTTTAATATTACAGTTTTTACATATTTCTGTGTGCAGAATTGGATTATAATATTTTCAGAAACAAATATCGAAATGTTTGCATATTAAAGAAATTTCATTTTCATTATGTGAAGTTGAATGATTATATCAATTTCAGTCTGTGAATTTGTGATATTCAAATTTAGAGCAGTCAAATACTGAAAATCTGCCGACCTGAAATCCACGTTGCCTTTCAAGATATAAATATTCAATTTATGTTTGATAATTATATCCTGGAACCGCAACATGGAGAACGAAATACCAAATAAAAAATACTTACTGAATAATGATGTCGTAATTGCCGAATAATAATGAGTCATAATGGAAATACCAAACTATTGACAGCATGATAAAAATTTTTTCCCCCTCCAATCCACTTCGAGGTAAAAAAGGAGACTATTCAGTCAACTTTTCTTTTGAGTTCACGATTAACGTTCACGATTGTATTTTCTGAGCGTTGTTATTTCCATGAGATTGTTTAATGCTGCCGTTTTTTCTTTTTTTTTTAATCTGGATATTTTATGGATAAATTAAAAATATTTTTAATTTCAGCACTTTTTAATAGCAAAAATCATTTGCGGTTTTGAAGCTGAGGATGGTGGTTCGGTAAAACCATCGAAACTAGTCCTGCGAAAATTTTGAAAATATAACGCTGATTTTTGTTGTTTGACTTCCGAATTAGTATTTATTCGGCGTGTTATTATGTCTTAAAGAGTTACTATTTTAGAATGCTGCAATGCAGTTTGAACTTAGTAAACTAGTGGTAGTTGGTAAGAGCACCAATCCCAGAGCTTTGAGAGGAATAAAATTCTTACATGTAATTTACAGGAATACTAAAAATTTCTGGTTCACAAAAAAAAAAAAAAAAAAAAAAAAACTTGTGACTGAATGGTTTATGGAGCATTTCATTAAAGAGGCTAGAAGGCATTGTAACAGTGTGGGGTTACCATCAAATTGCAAGATTTTACTATTGTTAGACAACTGCTCTGCACATCCAGATGCAACAATTTTTACATGTGATAATGGCATGGCCCTTTTTTGCCCTCAAATATTACATTGTTGATCCAGCCAATGAACCAGGGCATAATACACAGCATTTTAAATGCCATTAATAAATCAGAGTTTCTGAAAAAAATTCTTTCAAGAAATGCATTCTTTTTCACTTTGTGATTATAAAACTAATTCACCATCAAAGACTGCATTTATTTGTTAGCTGAATCATGGAATTCTGTTTCCAGAATAACATTAGTAAATGCATGGTATAATGTATGGCCACTTTTTCTATTTATTGAAACTGCGAGTGATGACAGTGGATTTTCTAGTTTTAGGATCAGTGCAGCAAGGATTAAAGCAAAAGAATTGCTTTTATATATGGAAGAAAGAATAAATGAGGAGGCTTTGCAAGAAGATATTGTTGAATGGATGATGTGTTCAGATGAGCCAACACTGGCATATCAGATGACCGATGATAAAATCATTAGCTCTGTTTTAAACTCGCCACAGCAAGAAAATGATTCCGACACTGACACAGATAGTGAATTTGATAGGAGTGAGAAAATTTCTTTTAATGGGGGTGTTTGGAACATGGTGAAGAATACATAAATTTTTTAGAACAGAGCTGTCTCATAGAGCAAGAAATTATATAATAAATAAATAATAATAAAAAAAATTAATTCTGAAGCACCTAAAGTTTTCCCAGAAAAATGTTTGAATTATGTAAATATATATATATACGCTTTATTAATATTCCTTATTTTAATGTCATTATTGTATACGTCTTTAATGCTTTTAAATATCCCTGTAATAACTAATATAAATGAATAATATAACATACACACATGCACATATATATATATATATATGTGTGTGTGTGTGTATGATAATTTAATTAAATGTATCTAATATGCCTTATTTATTTTACACTTTTAGTCTGAATATTATGATTTTGTCTTTTCTGTCCTGAAATCCACACAACCTCTGGTCCCAAGCTTTGTCGATTTCTGGGCCTTTATTGCATCATCCTGTCTCTCCTCTAAATGTCCACTAAAAATGGATAGCCTGATTTTTTTTAAGGTTTGTTCCTGGTTTTCAGGACTCATGGACGAATGAATATATACTCAATTATAAAAAGAATCGTATTGTATGTGTGTTATGTCGCACATTAAGTATACAAAGACATTTTCAAACTAAACATTAGTTCACATTTCAGAATTCTGATGACAAATGTATAAAATTTATTTATAAAAAGAACTGTTTCTGGATATAAGAAAGCAAGTTACATTTTTTGTCAAACAATTGGAACATAAGACCTTAACACGACTGCGTAAGACCTTTTACGACTGCACGTATGAGTGTGCGCAAGTGCAGAATACATTTTCGCGTGCGCGTTTTATGTATAATGGACGTATAAGCTAAAATTATCTTATTTATCTATTTTAGTTAATGTTGATGATTGCGTTGTTCCTTAATTTTCGAATTGGATCCAGCTTATTATTTTTTGCAGACTGTAAGAGCAATTTTATAAAAGTAAGCTTAAACTTTCGATTATATCAAATAGAATTTCCGATATATATTTGTTAATATGTAAAGGATCTAAAGCGAAAGTATGTTTTGAAATCCGAAATCTGTTTATCAATTTCACGCTGCTCCGCGGGGGGAACGCCGCAGCGGGCACGTAATGAATTGGAAGTTGATCTGTCAGCACTATCCGTATCTTCAGGGCAGATGTTTTTATTTTATTTGGCTTTATAATTCCTTACCAAATTAGTATTTCGTCTCGATGTGCTCCGTCTTTGATATGATTTAAAACAAGTTCCTCGTCATTATAATTCGCTTCTGATAGCGCAGAAAGTGACAGAGGTTAGTGAAAACGAAAAAATTTCGATTGACAAATTAGTCGGTGTTCTTGACACAGCAATTATAGGACTTGAACAATGGAACTTTGTAACTGAACAAGAAATTATGTCTGTTTAATAGAATTAAAGAGAAAGTATTATCACATGAAACGAAGCAAAACTTAAACAACTTACATTGAAAGAAATGTTTAATAAAGTAAACAAATAAATATTAAGCTTTTCTTTTTCTTTTGCAAATTTTTGATACCCTTTAGATCATAATTGTTCTTTATTTCATAAATTACGGTTTCATATTTTTAATTTAGAATTTCTGCATGCCATCTTACGAGATTTAAACTGATGATCTATAATCCGGAAAAATCGATAATCCGGAATCGCCGAAGTCCCGACGAATCCGGATTAACGACTTTTGACTGTAATTCCTTACTAAATGTAGTATTTCATCTCGTTGTACGCCGTCTTTGATATGATTTAAATCAAATTCCTCGTCATTATAAATATCACGAATACACATCAAATAGTTTTCTGGTTGCAATTTTCTAATTTCGATTGTGCGTAATGTACGCTTTACGTATGCGCGCATTGAAAGAAATGTTTAATAAAGTAAACAAATAAATATTAAGCTTTTTTTTTTGTAAATTTTGATACCCTTTGGATCATAATTTATTTCATAAATTACGGTTTTATATTTTTAATTTTAGAATTTCTGCATGCCATTTTATGAGATTTAAACTGATGGTCTATAATCCAGAAAAATCGATAATCCGGAATTGCCGAAGTCCAGACGAGTCCGGATTAATGACTTTTGACTGTATATTAAAGGACAAATTTTTAAGAAGTGTTGAAATATTGTTTAATGGTTTACCAAATCTACAAACAATATTAACCTGAATTCAAGAAATATCGGCTTCTGCGCAAAGTATTAAAAGACGAATAACTGAAATAGCTGAAAATGTGACAGCGAAACAGAATTTTGGATTACAAGAAACTGTTGTATTTAGCGTTGCTCTTGGTGAAAATACTGAAGTAAATGATATTGTGTGCCTCATTTTGTTCTTATGTTGTAATTGTATGTTGTTTAATTTAATAATTATGTTTAAAAGATACATAAAATATGTATAATTAAAATTTTTTATTTATATTGATGGAATAATTTTATTTTCTTTTTATATTAATAAGTATTTTTAAATCATGAATAATTCATATATAATAAAACTCTAAATCTGTATGCTTGACCTCTATTCCCTAACTCTGCATGCATTGCTGTGTGAATCAAATTGTTTCATATATTTCCTACTGTGTGGCACCCTGAATCATATTGGTAGATTGGTTTAGCACACCACAGCTACTAGGCTGCCGACTACTGATTTAGAGTGTCTGATTAGTATGGTGTCAACATTTTTATATTTCAAGAACCATACTGTGTCCTCATTTTTACATTTCAGTATATAGTTCTAGACCAGCAGTTCTCAACTTTTTGACTAACATGTACCATCTAAACAAACATTTAGAAAGTTTAGTAATACCACTACATTTTTCAATGATTATTTTTCAGTTTCTCAATATATATATATATATATCTATATAGCCATTTGCATAATCTGTTGGCTATTTGTATTAAATATGCACACATAAAAAATATTAGATTAAAAATTGGTTACCATTTTAATTATCAAAACTTTTAAGTTATGTATAGAAAAGTAAGGAATGCAAAGCAAAGACAAAATACCTGTTGTAAGAGACAGGAAATCGATGTAAAGAAATTAATCTTATTGAAAATATAGCAATATGAGCCCACAAATGGTGGTGACATAAAATTTAGACATGCTAATAAATCAATCAACTTTAAAAGAATTAATGAGATGCTATTATCTTTTTACAGGAACTTATTTTTATTCCCTATCAAATACAACATCCATTTCTATTACTCCTTTTAAGAACATAATCTATGACAAAGTTTGTTAAGTCTATGGCTGAAGGAATATTTGTGAAAAAAAAACAAACAGATTATTCTGTTAAAGTCTGTGAGCAGCTATTGACCTTGGGCAAAGCTCAGATCATGCAAAAATAACTTAAACAGGATGTTGGGGTATTTCATTTTTGAATTTAATAGTTAAAAATACTTTGTTTCTTTGCATATCACCTATTTTTCTCTTGCGCCCTACTGGTTGAGAATTGCTGTTCTAGACAACCACATGAAAGATTTGTTCTCTTTCTTTTTTGTTGCAGATCTTTTCAATGTATGACTACTAAGTTTATAGTGACTGTTGATTAGTTGCTCCAGATAGGAGACTAATAAGTCTGTAGTTCCATGTATTGAAAGAATCTTTGTATTCTTTTCCAACCTGGCAAAACTGGTTAACTCCCATATCTGGAGATCATTTGGATCATCCCATAACTGGAGATCATTTGGATTTAGAGACATACAATTATTCTTCTGTCAAGAATAATTCTTAGGAAACAGGTGTCAGAACTACTTATGTACTATATTTCAACTTTGTCTTTTTCATATAAGTTTCTATTTTTATTTTTTAAAATTGTATGGTATAATAAAAATTTTCTTAGAATTCTAATTTGCTAGCATAATTAGAAATAGTATTAAATAATCTTATTAATAATAAGTATTAAAATAGTACAGGTTTTTTAATTCCAGTTACCTGATTAGAATTGTGGTTGGGAATTTCAATTATTTTGTAATACATTTTATTTGGCTAAATTTTCAAGAATGATTCATCAGTAATGTATCTAAATCAAAGCTAAAATTAATGGTAAAAGCTTTTGAATAATTTTAACATTTAGCAGCCATCAGCTTACAGATTTTATTATTTTATTCTGTTTCATCAATTTGAACAAATGATACATACAAACAGTATAAGAGATATAAAAATTAAGTACAAGAAAAGAAAAATCTGATTTCTTTTGGGGGGGAGAGGAGGAGGTAGAATTTTAAGTTATCAGTATATGAACACATTTTAAACTTTCTATTCATATTTTAGGTGGTGTTGCTGGGACTTTTTAATGGTCAGAAATTAGGAAATGATTATGATATTATAATGAGAGTTTCAGACCGTGAAGAATATGTGAAAGTAATAATGCAAGATGGGAGAATGCAGGGTGCCATTCTGATTGGAGAAACTGATTTAGAAGAAACTTTTGAGAACCTCATTCTTAATCAATTAGATCTCTCTGCATATGGAGAAGACTTACTAAATCCTGACATAGACATCGAAGATTATTTTGATTAATAGATTCAGTTAAAAGGATGAGGTAATATTACCTTTGTGAAAAGCTGTATAGATTACTTTTACAAAACTGTAAATAAAGCATTTTCACTATTAGAAATTGTGTTCATGAAATAAATTACTGTTTCATAAATTATCATTTATTTGTATTGCAAATAAGTTCATCTTAAATTACTATCATCATTTGTATTAAAATTTCATGGATGTGGGTGGGATATGGGAATACATATGTTTTGAACTGCACACTGGAAATTCATGTACAAAATGAAAGTGTTCATATTTTTTTTTTTTTTTTTTTTACTTCTTTTATTGAAATTTCTTGCATACATTTTTCATCAAAAACATTTTATACAGTAGTCTGTGAATATAAGATTTATTACATCTTCCCAGCTTCTCAAAAACTTTGAAAACAGATTATCATTCGGAGACCTTTTAAAATTTGTTTTGCAAATTTATTAAATTATTGCTTTTTTCTTGATACTACAACAGTCAGCATTCACCCTTTAACTGCTAGCATGATTTCAAGACACATATCTAATGTTATGATCCTGGAAAAACTTTGAGAAGTGAGAATTTGACTAGATGCATCTTTCAAATAGTTTGCCGACTAAAATTACATAAGCAGAGCTTAGGTAACATAGTCGTGCTGGCTACAGCATTATACTATATATATTTTTACACTCTTTCTACCATTGATAAAATATAAAAATATTTCCTTTTGCTTTTCATACTTACATATTATTTCTTGATAGATTTACTGCATTGGTTCAGCCAGTATAAGAAGGTAATGTTTTAAGAAATGCTAACAAAAATATGAGAGAACAGCAGTATCTTGCAGTGAACAACCATAAAAAAATTTCTGGCATTATATTTTAAACATAACTCTCTCTCTTAGATGAATGAGCCAGAAAAGCATCCCACAAACGAGGTTCCACGAGTTCTTGAGCTCCTAATTTCATAAATTCTTCTTTTTGTCGTACTACTGCTATCTTCCGTAATGCTGCCTGGAAGTAAAGATGATTTTTTATGGCTTTATAATTTAGGGAACGTAATTTAACAAGTAGATTTTTGTACAAGTACTAAAAGTAATCAACAAGTAATAAAAGTAGGTAAAATGTAATTTAAACATTATGTAGGCTAAAGAGTCAGAAAATTATTTAGGTTGTCGTTAATAATTTTCATGCATGGAATTTGTTCTCTCATGAGTAAATTAAAATAAAGTATTATAAAATCAGAGATCTTTTACTACGTGAAAATTGCAGTTATTGAAGCTATTGCACATTTGGCAAAACACGGATAGCTAGCGATATGCTGGTTATTTCAATAAGTAGCCCGAAGTTTATTACATGTTTGCTGAAAATAATTTTTCCCATTTAATTTCAGCTTTTTATATTAGTAGAATCGGAGGTAATTTTTTTTTTAAATCCCAAATGGTGGTTTTATGTTGCAAAGAAAGGGAGAATCAGGATTGTACAATTAAATCTGTATTTTATGTGCACAGAAAATTGCTGCGTTAGTTTATTTAAGTGGCTACTCATAATGCAGAAAAGTTATCTGAATTTTCTATATGTTGAAGTCTTTTGAAAATAGTGAAATTTATTTATTGGTTCAGTTTGATTATTAAAGCATGTGAAAACTGTCTACCTGTGAGGAATGCCTTTGCAGAGGACTTTCTAAGGAAAATTGGCTTGTATCCACATTACAGAGGGAAAAAAAACCCACAAAAATGCCCATACAGCCAAATTGTTCGCTGAATTCAAATTGAGGTCACACTACCAGAGTTCATCAACTTTACCACTTGGGGCCACTACACTGATCCAGATGAATGAAAAAGGGAATTTCACAGAGAAAAATCTGTTTTGTGCAAAGAAAAGTGCAGTAGTAAAAACGTTTTGCTCGGAACTGAAACAGCTGATGAAATTCAGATATACACTCATGTCTAAAATTATTTTTACTTAATCACAGATTTCTCAGAAATTCTAAAATAATTTTATGAATGTGGGTGGCAGGATGCATAGCATCATAATACATAAAACCAAGGGAAAATAATAAAAGTGTTGCTAATAATACAAAACTGTAGCAGAAACATTAAAAGTGCTAAAAATATGTTACAAGGAGAATTCAAGAGGGGAAGAAATAATAATGCGGAAAAAAAATTAAGATTTATGAATTGAATACAGAATGTGATCTCTCCTGATTTGTACACACATATCACAATGTGTTTTCATGTTGGCAATATGTTGTCAATCGTACCACTTCTCCACCAGTGCAATCTTCATTGCATTTATATCTTTAGAAGGAATATGCTTCCATGCAACTATTTTCCCAAGGTAATCCTGTAAGTTCTCTATCGGGTTCAGGTCAGGAGATTGGCTATGGTATGTTTTCATTTTCAAGGAATTCTTCAACGAGGTCTGCTGAAAGTGGATGAGCACTTCATTTATCCATAAATAAAAGTCAAATCCGTATGCACCTCTAAAGAGTCTTACATTAGATTCTAAAACCTCATCCTAACATCTCTGGCCAATAACAGATGTGCTGTTGAAAGCGTGTAGATGTGTAGCGTATTGATCATTATTCCTCCCCATATCACATATCATCACACTTGTGTTACCGAAACATTTATGATTTCTGCAGTGCTTGAATTAAGATTTTACATTTCCAACTCTTTCCAGATGTAAACACATTTATAATCAGATGTTAAACTAAACCTTGACTCGTTGGTAAAGAGAACATGGGACCATTGGTATTCTCTACAGTTCTGATGTTTTTTGCATTAATTAAAGAAATCACCATTTTGTTGTGAAGATAGTGAAATACATACCCTTGGCTTTTTGACATAAAGGCCTTTTTCATTAAACCTTCTGTATACAGTTTGTCGTGATATAACAGTTCCAGTGGTGGCTGCAAGTACTTAACTGCTGAGCAGTAGTCTTCCCGTTATGATAGGCAGTTGCCAGATATTGATCTTGAGAAGTATTTGTTTACAATCTTGTCCTAGCCTCCTTGCAACAGTTCGAGAATTGTGGAATAGTTCCGCAGCATAGAGACTGTGTCTTGAAATATTCACACATCTCACTGCGTCCATGATTGTCTGCTGTGGTTCTAAATGACCAGTGATTCGCCACTTTGCATATTCTTCCAAATAATACCCCAGAGTCATAACAAATCTTTTTGAGTTCTTACACACTTTTCACACTGAAATCAAATGTTGTATTGTGGAAATTTACTCAGATAATCATTTTGTGCAAAAAACTTTTCATCATCAGATTATGTGATGCCTTAATTTCCATATCAGAAATGTTTGATCTCATTTGATTAAATAATAAGGGGATGGCTCTCAAAGTAATTTTGCTTGGCCCATGATTACATTTCTCATAATTTAATTAGCATTATTATATTAATTATCGTAGCAAGACTTTGAAGAAAGATTTAAATTTCCAATGATTTTGAGTGTAGTTTTAGATTATTTTCATTGCATTTAAAAACAAGAGTAACTCTCTAGAAAATCTATAAATGGAGCTTATTAATTTATTGTATGGTATGTATTTTATTCAAAGATTTGAACATATGGATTTTATTAATCTTTTTGTTATTTGTGAAGAGATAAATATTGTCAGTTATGAACTTTTACAATAATAATCACCTTGTGGAGAACACATCTATATGGAAACAATTATTTTTAACCATTGAAGTCAAAAGAACCAGACTGATGGATGAACACCTAAAATTTATGGTAAAGAAAGTTTATAATAATTTCCTTCAGGGTTATAAATTTATGAAATCGAAATGCCATGAGATGATGCAGCTTAAAATTGTGTTAAGAAATAAAGAAGTTTATAATTATCTACACATATATATATATATCTTTTCTGTATGCATCAAACATTTGATATAGCAGAAAATTAACAGGTTAGTGCTTATTCCCAAATTTTTTCCCACTTGAAAAGTTTTCATAATTTGTTTATTTTAAATTTAAGTAATTTAAAACTAATTAGGAATTAATTCAACATATTAGAATTATTTGAAAATGTAATATTTAGGTATTAATACATTTGAATTACAAAGTATAGCCAAAAATTTCTCAGACACCAACTTTTAGATTTCAGAAAGAAAATAAGTATAAATTGGATTTTTTCCTTTGTGTCATTTTTATTATTCTTTATGCATATTCTGACAAATATTTAACAAATAAAATTTAAAATTTAAATTAAAAAATTTATTTTGTTAAAGGAAATTTTTCATTTCGGTAATAATAATAATAAAGGGCCTTTCAGCTTGTAGATTATGCATTCAACTTGCATGAAAGTTGAGACAGCTGTTCTTAATGAATGTTCATCAAGGAATGCTACAACACTGTAGCATTTTTACCTGTCTTAGATATGTGTGATTTACATTCTCCTCATGCAGAACTCTTCCAGATCAATTTTGACATTATTTTAAAAGAAATTTTGATACTTTCTCATTATATGCACTCCTCAACAGAAAGTTGCAAACTTATTAGGGACTAATTTTTTGCCAAGTTTAGTATGCAGAAGGAACAGTCATTTTTAAATGGCAGCACACTAAGAATTCCGTGCTACAGCAATCAAATTAATAGAATTAAAAAATCTGATGTGTACACCACATGACTTCCTTGCACGGAATATTAAATTAAACAAAATTTTTCTTGCATTTAATTTAAATGTATTGGATTGAATTAAATCTACTTCGTTGATAGTGCATAAACCACAATAGAATAAATGCACTCTTTAAAAATTCAGCAGATTTGTTTACCACAGCAACACTCTGTGCTAGTGTGTTACATTTGTTCATTAATAAATGAGTATATAAATTATATCATTGAAGAGTTATCTAATCGGGCCACATGTTGTATTCAAATACTATATAAATCTAAAATGATGTATAAAAAATTAGAAAAAACAAACAAAAAGAACATTTCTACACGATTCAGTATCTCTCGTTCATTGATCCAGTTTCTCACATTCCGATAAGGCAAAAAACATAAAAACTCAAATATCTATTTAATTACGATAAACTTAAACACTTAGTTCCTTGAATAAATCCAGACCGGTAAATTATTTAATTCTCATATAAAAGAAGGCATTATCTTTGGTTGTTGCGAAGCTTAGTTTCTCTAGATTGGCAGCAAATCCGCTTTTTGCCAAGTTAAAATGTAACATGTTCGCCTTCGCAAAATCATTAGGCTTAGTTGCACTTAAACAACTTTTAACTGTTTGAAATATGCATGCAGATTTACTAGGCTAAAAACGTTACTGGAATAGCCAATGTAATTCATCATTTTTTAAGCAAAAATGCACATTTACAACATAAAAGTAAGAAACGAGATCAAGAGGCAGTTACGAGTGATATTTTATTTATACATATATTTATATACGTTTGGTCGGCCGATTGCAAACAAAATACGAGGTGCACATCCACATGTTATAGCAGCCCTATATACAAAATTTCAACATTCTGAAGCTACTCGTTTTTGAGTTATGTGAGATACGTATGTACAGAAGCCACGAAAATTTCTCTTCAGAATTCATTTTAAATCAGTTTTATAATTTTTTGGGGGGAAAAGACTCTTTTATTTTGTCCTTACATACAAATGCCACTCAAAAACATCCTTAAATTGCATTCGATAGCGGTCAAAATGGATATTTTTGTTGAAATATAATGCCTGAGAATTTTCACAATTACAGTACTTCCTTTTTACTTCATACAAGGAAGTAAAAAGCAAAGAGCATTAATAATAAAACTAATATTTGGTGTCTGAACTCGAATTATTGAATAATAGTTATTTCTGCTTAAAACATTTTTTAAAAAATAACAGAAGTAGTTTCACTAAAATAATTAATAATTATTTATTGTTAAACACCCTAATTAAAGTAGCTAACTAGTCCTGTCAGGTTTAGCATTTACATGAGGGCTTCTTTATCAAAATAGATATGAAATTTTGGCAGATGACCATTGTATATTTCGCTTAAATTAAAATAATCCATTTCAGTCCAAGTTTTGCTTTTCATTGAAGATGTTTATTCAAAAAATGTTTAATCAAATTCCTCCTGGAATTTTCCATTTTCTAGAACATTTCAACATATGAAATGAATGCTCCTTTCTGTCAGAAAAATATGATAATAAACAAGTGTATAGTCTTTACTAAAGTGGAAATTCAACCTTCCCTTATCTAAGGACCATATGTTTTGATGAAAATCTCTCTGTCAAGATACAATAAATCTGTGAATGCGAGCTATTGGCAAAAGCAGTTTCTCTGGAGTTGAACATCTGACGACTTCTCCCGTTTAGCATGAAAGCATTTTTTTTAGTGTTGTCATTAATAGGAAAGTTCCTATAAATCTTTGTTGCGGAAGAAAAACATGTCAGAGATCTAAAAATAATCACTACATTCCAGAAAAGAGCAAGTTATTGTGAAGTAAACTACCATTAAAGTAAGACAGACAATTTCTTTCCCTTTTTCTGATATGTATTACTAGACCTTAAAAGACCTTTCTTATCCATAGAGGGGGTGCTTTGATGACAGTTTTTTGACAGCCTAAGTTATTGAGCAACTGTTTACGTGTCTTTAAATAAGATTCAACTTTAGGTTGGTATTGATTTAGTAATAGATTACAGTCAAAAGTCGTTAATTCGGACACCCATAATCCGGAGTGATCTATAATCCGGACCTCAAAGCTAAAAACTTTCTGCGCATGCGCCGCGTTGGCACACGCGCAAAGGCGTTTTACGCGTGCGCGTAAGACCTTGACTACTGCGCATATGCGTGTGCGCAAGTGCAGAATACGTTTTCGCCTGCGCGTTTAATGTATAACGGACAGTGTAAGCTAAAATTATCCAATTATCTATTTCAGTTAATGATTGCATTGTTCCTTAATCTTGGAATTGGATCCCGCTTATTATTTTTTGCAGACTGTAAGAGCAATTTTATAAAAAAGTAAAAACTTGAACTTTCGATTATGTCAATAGAATTTCCGATTCTGGAGCTCCCAAAAGGATCGTACAAAACGAAAGTATGTTCGATGTCCAACAAACAAAAAGTGGAATTGCTGAAAAAAATGGATGGATAAGACATGAAGAATGTGACAGAGAGGTTAGTGAAAACGAAAAAATTTCGATTGACAAGTTAGTAGGTATTCTCGGCACAGCAATTAACGGGACTTGAACAGCGGAAACTTTGTAACTGAACAAGAACTTATGCTGTTATAGATAAAGAGAAAGTATTATCACATAAAACGAAGCAAACTTAAACAACTTACATTAAAAGAAAATGTTTAATAAGTAACAAAATAAATATTAAGTTTTTTTTTTTTTTTTTTTTTTTTTTTTTTTTTTTTTTTTTTTTTTTTTTTTTTTTTTTTGTAATTTTGATACACTTTAGATCATATTGTTCTTTTATTTCATAAATTACGGTTTCATATTTTTAATTTTAGAATTTCTGCATGCCATCTTACGAGATTTAAACTGATGATCTATAATCCGGAATCGCCGAAGTCCCGACGAGTCCGGATTAACGACTTTTGACTGTACATGCATTTTAAGAGCATCTGAAAGTTTATCTTTATAAAGAGTAAGCTGAATTTTACCCAGCTGTGAGAATGAAATTGGCATGCTACTCTTAATCTGTTATACATAAAAGGAATTAAAAATAATTTTGTTCAACTTACCAGACAAGCAACAAGTACTGAATCACTGTCATTACGTTCTTTTCTGTCTTTGCACAATTTCACCAGTCGCTGAATACCTGTTTATAAATAATATGTTTCTTTTAAGCAATTTCTGATAATGTAAAAGCACTTATACAATAATTGTTAACAAGATATTTGAAACATTTTAATTGAAAAATATTTCCAGAGAAATGTGTTTAAATGTAATTGTTTCACGCTGTATAACGAATAAATGCTTTTTCTGTTAGCATAGCGGATTTTATGTATTCTGCAGACAGTAGTTTGCACTTTATGGAAACTATTTTGATAATTAATTTTTATACGTAAAAGGCATATTTCTTGCAGCGATTTGCTTTCTCTACGATATCCTGATTCTTGGTTGTAACTCTAGCTCAAATTTTCTATGAAAGTAAACTTTTCTGTAGCACTGCCAATATCGATTTAATCCTACTGCTCTTGGGTCTTTTCCAGATTTCATTCAGTGGTCTTGGATGCCATTTTTCTAAGGCTCATTCTGACAAATCAAAAGTTCATAGGAGAAGCTTCAGGTGATTTTACAAGTACAGTTGTACCTCCTGTAAGGGACACCTCTATTTAAGGGATAATTCTGTTAATCCCAGTCCCTTTAAATGAGGACCTTGATGTATTTACACTGAAAAAAGTTTCAAAACTAAGATAGAGGTAGAGAAAACAATTAACATTCGGAGGCAAGTTTGCACTCAGTGAAAGATAGTTTTCTGACAAGGGAACAATGAAGTGAAAAGTTAATGACTCTCTTTTGAAAACTTCTTTTCAATGAGGAAAAGAGGAACAGTATATTGGGAGAAAGCAAGTTGTGGTGCAATCAAAAGAATATTTCTCATTTATATAATTCAAATCCAGTTATTCTTGTTACAGTTCTCAGTAAGAGGAAGAAAACAGTGGTAGCAAAATGTAAGGCAATGCAAGACAGGGACCATCATGGCACAGGGACCTCACAATGTGCTTAAACTTACACTCACAATGTGCTTAGTGAAAACTTATATCATTCATAGTTCTTACTAGGATTGCAGAGCAAAAGAAGTGTAGTTTTGTACTTATGTGTTACTTTTACATACATTAGCTAGAATGGCTTCAAGGAGGAAAGGCTTAACATTAAATAAATAAATAAATAAATAAAAAATAAAAAAAGGCGTAATTCATGTAGCAGAAACTTAAAAGTTTAATTTGAGAGATTTGGGGGAGAAAATTGGAATAAGCAAAAAACCAAATCGTGTTAAAGGGTAGAGAAGAAATAAAAATATTATGGATTACTAATTCAAGAGAACAGTATATTAACGCTGTAAAATGTAGAAAAACTGAAGCATGTGAAATGCATACAGTAGTGTTCAATTAGTTTTCTAAGAGCAACCAATATTCACTTAAGGGGAGTATTATTGTAAGAAAAAAAATTTCATAAAATCTGGGACTACAAAACTTCATTATTGGTTAGAAATTAACCAACAGTTGTTGTTAACAAACTATTGTTAGTTAGAAAAATTTAGGGAAAAACGTCGTAACAGTACTTTTAAGATTTTGTAGTGAAGAAAAATCAGTTAAGATATGCAACATGTAACAGACTGGATAAAAACGCTAAATGAAATTCGCGAACGATACGAGGCTTAAAAACATCTACAGTACATATGAAGTTGGATTATTTATCGAATTTTGCCTGATAAAATTCTGTTTTTCAAAGGAGATAGTGCTCTGGTGAAGGAACATCTCAATGCAACTTTGATGTAATGTGGAAGGAAAATTTGAGCAACCGGTTGTAATTGGAAATATATGTATATATATATATATATATTATCATTACTTGTTAGCTTTTCAATTTCTATTTCGATTATATATATATATATATATACACTCATGTCCATAAATCAAGGATAATGCAAAATCAGGCAAAGGAAGAGTTAAAAGCAAAACAAATTTGACTTATTTGTAAAGCTTATTTATTAAACAAAAGGTAAAGAGCAAAAAAAGATGCTATATGTTTGATATTATTAAAAAAAATAGCGATTTTTTCTCCCTGGAGCAAATTACAAAAAAAAAAAACCTATTTACAAGAAACCAATCTTACATGGTTGGTATGATTGTTAATACATTGTATGTCTCCCAGACGATGCAATACAGTCCGTACAACGCCTAGGCATGCTGAGTCTCAAATTATCGATCTGATCTTGGGGGATATTACACCACTCAAAAAGCAATGCTCTCCGAAGTTCCAGTAAACATGTAGGAGGAGGTTGACGGGCTGCAACTCGTCGGCTAAGCATGTCCCACACGTGCTCTACTGGATTCAAGTCTGGTGAGAATGCTGGCCAGTCCATACGGGTGATATCCTCCGATTGAAGGCATTCGCTTACGAAGTTTGCACGGTGAGGACGAGCGTTGTCATCCATAAACACAAATTGTGCGCCCATGGAGCCCGGAAACAAACGTACATATTGTTCCAGAATGACCTCCCGATAGATTTGGCTGGTCATAGTTCCAATTTGAACATGCAGGTCAGTTCTGGAACCCAAAATAATTCCACTCCAAACGAGCACTCCTGCACCACCATAACGGTGTCCTTCAATGATGTTTTCTTGGTGGTAACGGGTACCTGGAGCTCTCCATATGAAAGTCCGATGAGAATCAGACTGCAAGCTAAACCTGGACTCGTAGGAAAACATCACACAAGCCCACTGTTGCGGTGTCCACAATGCATGCTCTCTACTCCAGACTAACCGCAGGCGACAGTGAGTTGCAGTAAGTGGAATGCATCTGACAGGTCTACGAGCATATAGACCAATCTGCCCTAAGCGTCTGTACACGGTCTGCCTTGAAATTGTCGTACCAGTGGCTGGAGAGAGCTGACGAGACAGGTCTGAGGCTGTGCTCTGCCTGTTTCTTTTGGCAGTAACTGCCAAATACCGGTCCTCATTCGGCGTTGTAACTCTGGGGGCGACCTGTGCTGTAACGTCTTCTCACATTACCATCATCTTGGAATTGTTGCCAAAGCTTGGAAATGACACTCTGGACAATTCCAAGTTCGTCTAATGCTTCCAGTTGGGTACGCCCACATTCCAGACGGCCGATAATTCTACCACGTATAAAATCATCCAAATGCGTCCTTTGTGTCATAACTATTCGGTTATTGCACTGAAATGCTTATAAAGCGCCTGCGATCAATTTTACTTCTTTGCCTGTATTCCTTATATATCACTCTCTTACACTCTCGTCATGTGACGTAATATCGGTGTTATCTGGTTAGTTCCTGAAATTTGCATATGATTCTTGAAGATGTGTGTAGTGATTTTTTACAGGTAATATATTTATTTAAGAGTTCGATTTTCGCGTGACTCCGAATTATCCTTAATTTATGGACATGAGTGTATATATATATATATTTAAAAAAAAAAAAAAAAAAAGTAAAATTACTAATCAGCAAATCGAAGATTTTAAATTGGTTGAGCTTTATTGCTAGCCGTTAAAAAATCTCGTAACATTAATGATACAGCACAAGTTTAATTTTTTGTTCGATTTATTTTGTCTACGGGTTCTAACGAAAGATTTTGATATTTTTGAAATTGAAAGGTTAGACACGTGGTGAGGGTACTGCAAATGCTGTCATTGAATGCATGAAGAAACATCATTCCACTTAAGAAAATAATTTCAGTTTCAATAGATGGAGCAAAACTATGACCGGAGGGAGGAAAGGTTTTCTTTTTGTTTTGGAGGAAATAATTAATCGCGAGATACTTGTTTACCATTGCATCATTCATCAAGAAACGCATTGGCCGTCCAACCGGTATAGCGGTTAGCGTCGCTGACTGCCGTGCCGAAGGGCCCGGGTTCGAATCCCGGAGAACGTTGGTAAATGAATAGTGTCACTGTGGCATGACGGCACTCTAAATAGGCGGCAAGCCGAAAGTCCTGTCGTGCGGTTTGGTCGAAGGGGAGGCGTAGTGGCATACTGCACATTCAGTTGATCAATGTTAAATGAATTTCGCACACTGCGCATGCCCAGAAGAGAATTTGGCGCAATTACGACTTTGGTACAATTTTAAAAGAAGATAAATACGGTGTGTGGTTGATATTCTGTTATCTGGATATAAACAGTTCGAGATTTTGAAACTTATTATGTTGTAAGTTGCTTCATTACTTAGAGTGTAAATATCGATTGTAAATTACGCAAATTTTCGCTTAAGAGTGATTACAAAACAGGAAACATTACAAGATATATTAGCTGAATCTTTATTGATTATACTTCTGAGGAATAAAAGCAATTGCGTATTTAGCATACGTTCCATTCGTATATACTTTAACAAATTAAAGAATAAATCCAGTTTAAATTACTGAATTAAAGTCAAGGAAATTATTATAAATAACCGATATTAAACATAACGTTTATAAACAAAATAAACCAAAATGAAATGAAACAGAAGCAAATGCATTAAGCACAAACAAGTTTCGGTAGTATTGCAATTGTAAACAGTTGATAAGACCTACAAGACGCGCAGGCTTTTGTAGGGTTGCTATGGCCCCTTTTAGCAGTACCTCCTACATGTATGTAGGAGGTACTGCCCTTAGTCGCCAGTATTTCCTCCCACGCCAACGGTAAATCACTGAGCATGCGCAGGATGCGAAATTCGTTAACATTGATCAACTCAATGTGCGGTTTGCCATTACGCGAAGGGGAGAGGGGTGAGAGACCCTCGGACCCGATCTCCCCCGGGGTGTTCTCCATCAAAATTGAGGGCGGAACTGAACTACGGAATGGATGATCAAGATTGTCAACACAATTGCAGCTAAAGCTTTTTCTCATTGCCAATTTAAGAAAGTTTTAGTTGAAATGAAGAGTTAATAAGCAGATTTTCTGGTGCATGAAATGGTACGTTGGCTTTCAAGATTAAATCTTTTAAAACATTTTGCTTCCTTATTATTAGAAATTAAAATATTCCTTCTTGAGAAGGGTGTTGACTATTCTGAACTAATGGGCAATCAGTAGATCCATAAATGTAATTTCACGGTAGTCGTTAATTCTCGTATAAATAACCTTAACCGTAAACTACAG